TCATTTTAAGAGGAAAAAGTGGCATATTCACAGTTTTTTAAGCCTCCACAAAATATCGCAATAAATATCATAACGTGAGACATATATCGTGAAAATATCGAAGAGATTTGATGATAGTTACATCCCTAATCATAAGCCTCCCCACCATATGAAGAGCTTTCCAATGATACCGCAATAAATATCCTACTCTGAGACTTGGATATCATTACAGCCCCAGTGGAAAACCTCTTTTAAAACTGTAAAATCAGCACCATCCTGTAATTTTTTATATATATATCAATTTGAAAAATATGATTTTGCCTGGAAAAAAAACATTCAAATGCTCCACTACGAAAAGAGAGCGTGCACGCCGTTTTCACGATCGCGTTTTAAGAATATTGATTTCTGAGTTCTTTGCTCATTTTTTGTCGTATTTGTGGGGCGGATGTGGCTGTGGAGAGAGAGTCGTCTGCTTTAAGTGTGTGTCGGTGTGTGTGTGCGTGTGTGTGCATACTCGGGTAGTGGCATGCTGAGGGAGCGGTAGTTAATTCAGGCCAGGAATCTGAATTATCTTAGCCCACTGTTTCCAATTAAGCCGTGGACATGTACAAGCCGCAGTTATGGGAGGGCCTCATCGGCGTCGTCCATTGTGTTCGCTCATCCTTAACTGCACTAGATAATTGTTGTTTCTTGTGCACCGTCCCTTCGGGATTGGCTGCAGCTCCTCACACTGTGATGTGTGCATTTGCTCTAAAAAAGACTTGTGGCTCCATATCTGTTGAATTCATTTTTACCACTGAATTTTTCATACGCTTCTGGCAGAACCACCACGCTGCGCAGAGTTCAATTTCACCACTATTGCCTGATCCAACCTTTTGCTCGTTCTTCTGTTCTTTTGCTGCTGTATGTTTTAATCCTTGAATTGCCAGCAGTCATGGATATCTCACCCGCCAATAAAACGCATTATTATAGAGACAGTAGCTCATTTGTTAGAGCATTTGTTGTTGTGTCCTTGAGCAAGACACTGTAGCTCCCTCACATCTAAACCTGTCATGATAAATACTACATCGACTTACCGTTCAATATATTAAAGCTGGTACAATAGATTTTGGGGTTCAGTATTTATCGTGTGTATATTTTCTTTGTAAAAATGGTGAAATTTTGGGTATTTTTGTTAAAACATCTGAGCTGTAACATGTTGAAAAGTGAATTAATCATTCAGATAATTCGTTCAATTGTTTTTCAAAATAAAAGCAAAAATAAGAAAACAATAAAACAACTATTTTATTTGTCTACAAAACCAAAATGAAAAAACAGATAACGATTAGTTTTTTTCAGTTTTTGATTTTGTGTTTAAATGAATACTGTAAAAAAAAAAACAGATCAAGTTTCCCGTTTCGGTGACTTAAACTGTGATGCTGGACTTTTGTGTCACATACGGACTGAACCAGAACTAAACCAGGACTAAACCAGTCTCAGTCCCGGTCTCAGTCCTGGTCTGGTCCTGGTTATAGTCCTGGTCTGGTCCTGGTCCAGTCAGTCTCAGTCCCGGTCTCAGTCCCGGTCTCAGTGTCTGTCCTGTCTCAGTCTTCAGTCCTGGTCTGGTCCTGGTCATAGTCCTGGTCTGGTCCTGGTCCCAGTCTGACCCCAGTCTGGTCCCGGTCTCAGTCCCGGTCTCAGTCCCGGTCTCAGTCCCGGTCTCAGTCCTTGTCTCAGTCCTGGCCTCAGTCCTGGTCTGGTCCTGGTCCCGGTCTGATCCCGGTCTGGTCCTGGTCTCAGTCCCAGTCGCAGTCCTGGTGCCGGTCCCGGTCTGGTCCCGATCTCAGTCCTGGTCTCATTCCCGGTCTCAGTCCTGGTCCTGGTCCCAGTCTCAGTCCTGGTCTCAGTCCCGATCTCAGTCCTGGTCTATTCCTGGTCTCAGTCCCAGTCGCAGTCCTGGTGCCAGTCCCGGTCTGGTCCCGATCTCAGTCCTGGTTTCATTCCCGTCTCAGTCCTGGTCTGGTCCCAGTCTCAGTCCAGTCTCAGTCCTGGTCTCAGTCCCAGTCTCAGTCCTTCTCAGTCCTGTCTCAGTCCTGATCTCAGTCCTGGTCTCAGTCGTCTCAGTCCCGTCTCAGTCCCAGTCTCAGTCTGGTCTGTCTCCAGTCCGGTCTCAGTGATCTCAGTTCAGTCCCCGTCTCAGTCCTGGTCTTGTCCCGGTCTGGTTCCAGTCTCATTACTGATCACACAAAATTGAAAACTGAACTTTTTTTTTTTTCATTTTGGTTTTGGAGACAAATAATAAAGAAAATAGTTGTTTTTTGTTTTTTTGTTTTTTGTTTTGTTTTATTTTGAAAAACAAATGAACAAATGATACACAGATTTAAATAATTCTATGGCGAATTATTGGTTCATTCTGCTTTTTCTTTGTAGCAGCTCAGGCTTTTTAAATGATACTGGGATGATCCTGCTTTCTTGTTATTGTATTAGAGACATAAAATAGTTTCAATATTATAATTTACTGCAATTTATCAAGCTTCAAAATGTGTTTTCCTCACAGACCTACTCACCTCTACAGTGAATGTTTGAACTAAGACTAAAACTGTATTTGTTTCATTGCCATTTTGCTCCCGGTGATGTGCACTTATGAAAAGAGAGCCTCAATGACACGGTTTTCAATGAACTAATTAAATTTAAAAGCATTACATCATATCTGCTTTTGTCTCAGGGTTTTCGTACGTGTTTACTGAACTTGAAGAGGAGACATTTCAGGTTTATTTGCTCAGTTTTGCCGTACAAGCAACAACTAAACTGTCCACTCTGCCTTAAAAGACGTTTTAATAGTGAATTTAATCAACTTGCAGCCATAGTTTTTTTTATGAGACACTGTAGCTGCAAAGGTCGTTTTCTTAGGGTCTGTTTACGCGACGCTTCAGGGTAAAAACGATATTTATAATATATTAACGATACATTACAGAGGTGGGACCAAGTGGTTGTTTTGCAAGTCTCAAGTAAATCTCAAGTCTTTGACCTCAAGTCCGAGTCAAGTTCCAAGTCAAATACAGGCAAGTCCAAGTCTAGTCTCGAGTTACTGGCCCATAAGTTCAAGTTAAGTCCAAGTCGTCTGCTTTGAGCTTCAAGTCATTTCAAATCTTTAAACCAAAAAAAACAAATATAGCTTAGATTTTTGCAGGTTATATGACTTTTAAACTAAATATACTTAAAAATTAATGGTGCTAATTCAAAGTGTTGTCATTAAGGATCATGTTCTGTGTAGTTCCCCTTGTTTTACTGTAGTGTACTGCTTATTACTGTAGTACGTTTGATGATACAGTATCGCAGTACTTCAATTCCATCTAAAGTATTAAACAGAAGTGGGATGGACATGTTACAGTTTGTTCCTTTAAAATTCAGCACGGCATTTATCAGCTGTAAAGAGAAAAGTATTTTCTAAAAACATATTCATTTTTAGGAGGAGTATCAAGTCTTCTCAAGTCACAGGGCTCAAGTCCAAGTTGAGTTCCAAGTCTTTGTCCATTTTATCAAGTCAAGTCTCAAGTCCTAAAAATCACGACTTGCAAATCCCCACCTCCTCCCACCTCCACCTATATTATAAAGCAATATTTTTATCGGAAGTGCCTTTCGTTTAGACGGTGATGGCGTTTTTGGGGCTTAAAAACGCAAAAATCTGAAACCACCCTCCAGAGTGGAAAAGTTGAATATGCTCCGCCGTAGTGTTTCCGTCTACACTGTCCAAGAAGCAAAAACTCTGGTCAGATCTGCTCATGTCGTGTACGCGTTTACATCACATACATATAGTACACAGAAACAAACATGTCGGATCATTTCCATCCATCGGACCGTCAAGCTGCTCCAACAGCAGGCGTCCCAGCAAATGTAGAGAATCTGCAGAGACACTATCAGTGAACAGAGAAGGATCTGCAATCACCTCTGTCAAATTCTGGATGCACCAGTTCGTCACAGGCGAGTCAGACAGTATTAGATGAGATCTGGAGAACCACTCGATGTTTCCAGTTGAAAAACGGACAACAATTAGTTTTTTTCAGTTTTCGATGCTGTGTTTAAATGAATAATGGAAAAAAACAGATAACGACCATTGCCTGTTTCTGTGACTTAAACTGCGATGCCAGACTTTTGCGCCGCATATGGACTGAACCAGGACTAAACCAGTCTCACTCCTGGTTCAGTTCCAGTCTCAGTCCTGGTCTCAGTCCTGGCCCTGGCCCTGGCCCAGGTCTCAGTCCTAGTCTGGTCTCGGTCTCAGTCCCGGCCTGGTCCGTGTCTGAGTCCTGGTCTCAGTCCCGGTCTGGTCCCAGTCTGGTCCTGATCTCAGTCCTAGTCTGGTCCTGGTCTGGTCCTCAGACAACTCTGTGGAAGGAGCAGCTGATGAAAATTTGTGGTGTGAAAACTTCTGTATGTTCAAAGATCAAAGATGCCCTTGTTGCTTTAAGTACAAACATACCAATCGAATTCCACACACTTTTGCGTCACCGTATGCACATTCTTCCCCATAGAGACGTAAGGATCAGCCCTTAAAACCCTTAAAGTAGCAGCTACACACACCAAACTTTACATTTGTGTACTTTTCAAGATTTTGACGAAATGTACCGAGGGATTTTTTGATATGTAACTCCAAGTCTGATTTATTCATGTTTTAACTCCAAAAAAATTAGACGAAATTTGAATTTTTAGGCCAATTTTCAGTGAGATTTTGGTTTTTCAAATACTGAATAAGATAACTAAACTCCTCTTTTATATTTTTTGTATCTAATATAACAGCAAAAAGAAACAATAATTTTAAACCTGTTTCTTTTCATGTTCTGTTTTGAATGTCCCAAAAAATGGTCAATTTAGTCAGTTTTTACACATAAAAGGCTTATTTTCACATTGATAAAAAACTTGTAATACATTTTTTTTTCTTGCTTTTACCTCACTGAACCAGGGAAAAAGTTTCAAATATCTCTAAATATAAGCTTTTCTCCCATTCACCTGCAGTCTCCCTCATGCTCTGTGCTGTTTCGCAGGTTATCCAAGGTCTGCTGGCTGTTTTCTACAACCTCGGCGATGGAGACTACAACGTGACTCTCCACTCGTTTCGCCTTAATAACGGCGAGTGGCACGAGGTGGAGCTGGAGCGGGTGGGGCGCGAGTTCAGCCTGCGCGTGGACGGCGGCGGGGGGCAGCGCGAGGTCACGGCCGCTCCAGGACGCAGCCACGAGATCATTATCGACTCCGCGCTGGTGATGGTCGGCAACTCCTTCCCGTCCGGGCACAACCGCAGCTTCCTGGGTACATGTCTGCTACACGTTTGACCACAAAAAGTAGAAATTCAAGTGCAGATCAGTGACTTATTAACCAAAGTTTTTAATGAAATTCCTTTTGTCACAATGTTCAGCAGGTAAATGAGCAAACACACATTTTATTTAGTATTTAAAGGTTGTATAGAGGATTTTCCAAGGAACGAGAAATCCAGCGACTGTTTGTCCTTTTTCAAATGTTGCGCATGCGTGAAACCACCCCCCCTCCCCTACAGCTCCTACGTAGAAACACCTCCTCCCGCCTCCTCTTTACGCCAGAAACAGGTTTGTTTACAGCCGGTGCTGCACATGACTTGTAAACAACTAACTACAGTGTTGGTTAGCAAGACGGAGAAGTGAGGAGCGGGGGAGAGGAGAGAGGGAGCGGGTGCATGCGGAGATTCCGTGCCCGGAGAAGTGAGGAGCAGGGGGAAGAGCGGAACGGGCAGCGGGGAGAGGAGCAGGAAAGGGGTGCAGAGAAGGTTGCGCGGAGATTCAGTGCGAATGAACTAGCTACAACACGCAGCAGCAAGCGGACTCTTTCTTTGCCTTGAAAATTACGTTTTCAGACATAGGATATCGCTTTCGTGTCCTGAAAAACGTTTGTCTAAGCTCTTGGAAATAAAGTACGTTTTCATAATAAGCAGAAGTTTCCTGTCCAGGAGTAATTTGTGGACCAGTGCGTCAGTCTTTAGACCCTGCGTCTGCTTCAGTCGCGCCATCGCTGGAATGAATCTTCAAGAATCACCTTAGTTTGGCTTCGCTGCTTTTCCCCTTGTCTTCTTCTTTCAGCGACCTCAAAAACGGACTTTCTTTTGCGGCGAACTGCTCCTGGATTCTTGTCGCCATTGCAACAAACTTTGTGCGAACTGCGAGGAAGATATAGGTCAAAAAAAGCCGCTAAGAACTGTTGCGTTGGTGGAGTAAACAGCGTCTGTGCGTCTTGCGTCTGTGGACTGCGTGACAGTCGTACGTAAACCACGTACCGGCGGCGCAGGCAAGTCAGTTACGCTAGAAACGTAGGGAGATTGATTGACAGCCTGTCAGCTCACAGATAACGAGGCAGTGTCGTTATCTATTGGCAAATGTGTAGCCCCACCACGTCCAGAGTTGATGAATTTTTATTTTATTTTTTTTGGTCATCATAATTACAAGGCTACTGCACCTCTATAATGCTATCATTGACAACTTGAAACAAAAAAAAAAAAATAAAATCCTCCATACAACCTTTAAGCGACTCCTTTCCATCAGGACACAACTGGAGCTCCCTGGATACATGTCTGCACAAGTTTAACCAAAAAAGAAGAAAGAGTTTTAAAGCAAATTCCTTTTGTCGATAGTTTAGTTTAGTAGAAATCGGCAATTCCAGGGCTGAAATGATCCAAATGATTCTAATGAAGGTTTGGAGTTTAAAAACACAGTGGAGCAATACAGAAAAGGACAACTCCAGTCCACACAGCAAAAAATGAAGTGTTGAAATTGACTCTCGCAGAATCAATTTTATCATTTTCTCATGGTTTATATGAGTCCAATCTGTTCTAGAGTTAATTTAACATTTTTGGAAATGTTAATTAAGTCACACTGGACCAAAGTTTCTGTTTAACCCTGAAATCAAGAGTTATATTAAAGTTTTGAGAACACTTTGTGGGGTTATCCTGATTTAGCTGAACAACACACAGAGGTGTTTTATTTTTATACTTTATTTTAGTTAATTTAAGATGAAATTATGCACAAAACTGGTCAAACTGGTCTTCTCTTGTGGTAGTTTGAAGTGGTGGGTGGGAGATGCTAAATTAACACTAGTGGAAGTTGAATTAACTTCAACCATATAAACTTTGGCAAATAACCTCAACTCAAATCCCCATTTAACTTAGTATAGTTACACTACAAATAGTTAAAATAACACTTTTTGTGTTAAAAACTCTGAAATATTTTACCCTGAAATTTAGGGATTTAACATTATTGAAAATATCATGATATCGTATCGTCAGAAGTCTCATAATAATATTGTTGTCTGTCACAATAAATTGAAGTTTCTTTGCTTAAATGCATGGTTTTATAGTAGCAACAGCTTATAAACATCTGAAACTACATATCCCATGATTCATTTCAGTGCAGACAACATGAAGAAAATTTTTTTGACTTGAATTTTTGGGATTATGACAGAAATAATTCTCACCAAAATCTTGTCAAGGTATTTTAAAACCAAAAACAAGTCAGATAAAGAAAAAGAGGTAGAGCGCTTCACTGGGTCATAAAAGAGTAAAAAAAATAAAAAATAGCAGTAGAGGTCTACAAGGGTTAAAACAGTAGTCTTTAAACAGAAAGTTACCTGGAAAATGTAAAAGTGGGCAAGGTACAAACCTGAGGCACTCCGACTGAATTTATTAAAAGTTCTTTATTACATGAAGGGATGATCAACGCCTTTTGACCAGCAAGATGGTCTTCGTCAGGGCATAGTGGTCACGACGAAGTGGACGAAGACCATCTTGCTGGTCAAAACACGTTGGCATCCCTTCACGTAGTAAAGGACTTTTAATATACTCAGTCGGAGTGCCTCAGGTTTGTACCTTGCCCACGTTTACATTTTCCAGTAAGGGTAACTTTCTGTTTAAAGACCAAAAACAAGTGTTCCATCTACAATTATATCAACCTCATCAAAATATCACAATAAATATCGTACCGTGAGATTTGGATATCGTTACATCCCTGCTGAAATTTTAACCCTCCTGTTTTTGCTGTGCAGGTATTTTTGAGCTATAAAACAACATGTAATTTGATAAATGTAAGGTAGAGCTGTTTAATGTCATACTGTGGAACATTCCAGAGAGAGGAGTGACAAGAGAAACAAGAAGGTGACGGACCCCCAACCTAAAAGTTATAATGAAATCAGTCCAAGTGTAGATCAGCGACTAACCAGAAATTCGTTTTGTCAGTAGTTTTCAAGTCAAGAGGCATGTTGTGTTTAGAAGAAATCGTCAATTCTAGGGCTGAAACTAAATATGCAGGATCTTTGTTTTAAACATTTGTGAATGGAACAAACTCAACCCAACTCCAGGTACGTTTGTGATGAGGAAACATATCGCAGAGATCAGCAAACGGCGTAATACGACGGCTCAAACTGAAGTCTAGATCAGTGACTAATTAACCGGAGTTTTCAATGAAATCCCCCTCGTCACACTCGAGAAACTGCCGACTGTGATTTGACCGAGTATTTAGAAGCAGACGCAGACATGAGAGCTCCTGATCTGTATTTAAATCATGTGTCAGACCCCACACTTCCCACAGAGAGAGAAAACTAGCTGCTAGAAAGAGACTATCTAGCAAAAAGGGGCATGCTGGCAGGTAGGCCCGGGGCTGTTTGTGTTTGCGTGTGTGTGTGCGTGCGTGTGTGTGTATTCTGAGCCTGTGTACTCGTCTGCTCGCCAGTGTCTAGGCGTGTCAGCGGGGTGCATCTTTGTTTTTGGACTTCACATGTTGGCTTAGTGTAAATGTCCATGAAAGACTTCGCCCGAGGACTTGTGTTTTACCGGGGTCTTTACAGATGTAACTTTTTCTGCCGAAGAGTCCGTCAAACGCGTTTATACACGGAGACGTTGTTGCTTTATCGGTTATTTTCCACAGTTCGGTGTTAAATCTGAGTTTATCTTCAGGGAGACTAAACCAGACCAAGTTACGGGTCAGATCTGCGGAGAGGCGACCCCGCTCACAGTCAGAATATCTGTTTTTCTACAAAGCAAAAGGTCAAGTGTTAAAATTGACTCTCACAGAATTTTTTTTTTTTTTTTTTTACATTTTCTCAGGGTTTATAAGAGTCCAATCTGTTCCAGAGTTAATTTAACACTTTTGGAAATGTTCATTACGTAACACTGGACCAAAGTTCCTGTTTAACCCCAAAATCAAGAGTTATATTAATGTTTTTATCCTGATTTAGCTAAACAACACACAGAGGAGTTTAATTTTTACACTTTATTTTAGTTAATTTAAAGAGACAATCTGGAATTTTGGACATAAAGCTTCATTTCCTAGTGAGCCAGAGTGTTGGAGACGTGTGGAGATATTTTACTTAAATAATCCATCCAGTCCTTGTATTTGCAGAGGTCGCTGGTGCTAGGCTTCGTCGATCACGTTCAGTTTTAATCGACAAACTGAATGTAGGTTACCGTATTTTCAGGGTCATTAGACGCGGTTAAAGGCTTAAGACCGCGTCTAATGACCCTGAAAATACGGCCACGCGCCTCGCAATCCAGAGCGCCCCATACACGAATCCACTCAGGTGTCCCAGCACGACTTCAGTAAACTACAAAACCGCACCACCAAACACGCAAACACACACGGAGCAGACAGCGACCGCACGGCGAAAAACACCCACAGACACACTCATCACTCCACGCCGACGAGGAACGGAATGAAGGAACGAACTGAAAAAGCGAGTCCAATGTGCCACTTCTAGACACAACTGAACAACTGAGTCACTGCGAACGATCCAGCAGTCCCAGCGGTCCCAGACAGCACCCTCCCTACACGCCACAACTGAACAAAGCCCAGAGTCACTGTGAACGCCACAAACAAAGTCCCACTGACCCATCCAACTGTTGTGTTTCCTTTAAAGTCTAGTGCGGTTTATTTGTGAAAAAAGTTCAAAAATAGACCTTTTAATGATAGTGCGTCTTATAATCCAGAGTGACTAATAGCCCGTAAAATACGGTACTGTGTGTAGTGTAAGGAGACGAGGCTGCGTCTGACACAAACACTGGAGTTGTGCCTCACAGTCCCACGTTTGGGTTCTGGCTCCTTGGAGACACTGTACCACTCAGTGAGTGTGTTTACTGCACATCAGTGTCTGAGTATGATTGGGTTTTTTGAGTATCCCAATTTCGTCACGGTGCATGTAAACGTAAAATGCCACATGTCAAATGACACATGCGTCCAAAAGACAAACACTTTTCAGTCTTTTCATCATAACAGTAGGCAAAATAGATAAAGTGACCAACATAAATAAAGTGAGTGAAATTAAATGAAATGTTAAATAAAGAACTGGGCTAAAGAGCAGTGGTTTTAGTTTATGCAAATGAGTCATGTGGTTTTAAGTGGCAAAGCCGCATTAAACACATTATAATCTCAAATCGGCCGATGTGACTCTACAGTGGTTATGGTTTATAAAAGCTGAGTAAAGTTGAGTTTATTTATGCAGATTAGTGATAGTAATAATAATTATAATAATTTTAATAAAAAAATGTTAATGATTAATTGAAAATCGATCGTTAATTCTCGCTGGTAGATTAAGAAAATGTAATCGACTGTCCATCCCTAATTAAAATAACACTTTTTTTGTGTGTTAAAAACTATTCTGAAATATTTTACCCTGAAATTGTAACCCTCCAGTTTTTGCTGTGTAGGTGTTTTCGAGCTATAAAATCACCTGTAATTTGATAAATGTAAGGTAGACCTGCTTAATGTCATACTGTGGAACATTCCAGACAACGCAATGACATCTCCATAGAAACAAGCAGCTGACAGACCTCCAGCCGAAAAGTTCCACTGTGTTCCTTTAAGCATTATTGAGTCTTTTCTCTCTCTCTCTCTCTCCAGGCTGTTTGCGAGACCTGAGGTTTAACGGCCGCCTCATCCCCCTGGACGTGGAGAAGCACACAGAAGGACTCGGGGTGGTGACTTCTCAAGGCGTCTCCCGTGGGTGCTCCTCCGACGCCTGCAAAAAACACCAGTGCTCCTCCCCCCTGGTCTGTGTGGATCTGTGGAGACAACACGAGTGCAGGTGGGGTAAACAGATGGGGCAAATCCTGGTGGGTAAAGAGCTTACGGTAAGAAGGCTCAGTCTGCACACATTTACATACAGGTGTCTCTTTGCATGTTCATACACCAGAGCTGCTGATTATCAAATTACTGCAATTAAACTGTGTTGGGTAAGTGACTTTAAAACTGTAATGTGTTATTTATTTTTTACTTGTTACTATCATTTTAAAGTAATTTGTTACGTTACAATATGACTGTGTTTATAATCTAAGACATTACACAAATAACTGTGTGAAAATGCCGAACTTCTGCGCCGTAAATGGGCTGAACCAGGACTAAACCAGGACTAAACCAGGACTAAACCAGGACTAACTAAACCAGGACTGAATCGAGGACTGAACCAGAACTGAACCAGGTCTGAACAAGGACTGAACAAGGACTGAACCAGAACTGAACCAGGTCTGAACAAGGACTGAACCAGGACTGAACCAGGACTGAATCGAGGACTGAACCAGAACTGAACCAGGTCTGAACAAGGACTGAACCAGGACTGAACCAGGACTGAATCGAGGACTGAACCAGAACTGAACCAGGTCTGAACAAGGACTGAACAAGGACTGAACCAGAACTGAACCAGGTCTGAACAAGGACTGAACAAGGACTGAACCAGGACTGAACCAGGACTGAATCGAGGACTGAACCAGAACTGAACCAGGGCTGAACCAGGACTAAACCAGGTCTACACCAGGTCTAAACCAGAACCAAACCAGGACTGAACCAGGTCTAAACTAGAACTGAACCAGAACTGAACCAGGATTAAACTAGGACTAAACCGGGACTAAACCGGGACTAAACCAGGACTAAACTAGAATTGAACCAGGAATGAACCAGGTCTAAACTAGAACTGAACCAGAATTGAACCAGGATTAAACTAGGACTAAACCGGGACTAAACCAGGACTAAACTAGAATTGAACCAGGAATGAACCAGGTCTAAACTAGAACTAAACCAGATCTAAACCACTAGGACTAGGACTAAACAAATGAGGACTAATCTTGGACTAGGACTTGGAATCTAGAATCTAGGACGGCCCCAGAGAGAACCCCGAGTCCTTGGAGCAGGGTGTCCTCAAAGCTCAGTCGGGTGTCAGCTGCGTTTACCCTCGTGGAACGTGGAGTTCTGCGTTGGTCCTTTCGCCCGTGGTCACCTGACGGTCTACACCGGCGCATCTTCAGGCCCGTCTCGACATTCGGAACCATAACGATGGCGTTTCACTGCAGTTATTTGAGCGAATTTGTATGAAGAAAAACGAAAAACCCACCACTTCAATCCAGGATAAAAAAGCATTACTGACATTTGTACCAAGTAAAACATGCCCTTTATTTTCCCTGTAATGTGTCAGAGCAAAACGCAATGCATTACAGTAATTTGTTACTTTTATAACGCGTTACTCCCAACACTGCTATTTAAGGTGCATTGTGGAACTTTTCTGGTGGAGGTTTTCGTCAAATGCTTTTCTCCATGGAGATCACAGCATTTTTAAGCATTTTTGAGCTATAAAACCACCTGTAGTTTAATAAATGTAGGGTTAAGATGTTTAATGTCACACTGTGGAACATTCCAGACAAAGCAATGACATCTCCATAGAAACAAACTGCTGACAGACCCTCCACCAGAAAAGTTACACAGTGCACCTTTAACCATGGTAATTAGCACGACACATCATTAAATATCATAATTAAGATGCAGAAAACAATTTCCTCTTGAGTGGGATAAAAATGAGCGTAAACAGAATGGGACAAAACCAAGAAATAAATTAATAAAATTATCCTACACTGTGCAAGGGAAAATATTTCAAAAACAAGTCATTAAACTGTTATAATTAATTGAGTAAAACTAATGTAGCAATGAATTCACATAAAACCGAGTTAAAACAGCACAGGCAGGAATTAGCAATTATCATCATTATTATTTATTTATTTATTTTTTGTCTTAAAAACCTGAAAAACAGAATTAATTGTAATAAAATTTAAAGGTCCCATATTACGCAAATTGACACTTGTGAGCTTTGAGTCATGTTATAATGTTTTTACCTCCTGAAAAACAGACCTGGAGTTGTGTTTTGTTTCATTCACACATGTTTGAGTAACTCTTTATTATGAGTCTGTTTACATCTCCAAAGCTTAAAATGCTCCGGTCCACCTTGTGATGTCATGAAGTGGTCGATAACAAGTTAACAGCTCAACCTTTTACCTTTAGTTTAGTATAGATTGGTAATTCCAGGGCTGAAATTATCTAAATTAGGGGTGGGCAAACTACGGCCTGGGGGCCATATGCGGCCCTTTACTCTTTTTAATCTGGCCCGCCGAACTTGAATAATAATAATTTTCAGTGTTTTAAAAGTCATTTCAATAAATAGTAAATACCGTGGGACTTGAAATGCAGATATTTTGTTGTCATACTTTGTAATGATTTTCAATTATGGGATATTTAAATAACAAGGGATACGTTTTCTACATATCCCTTGTAATTTTTTCTCTTATGAGGTGGATTACCAAAAGGTGGATTAATCAAAAACTCCATCCATCTGCTCTTGGTCCGGCCCTGTCAAATTTTAGAACCCTTTGTGGCCCACAAGTCAAAAAGTTTGCCCACCCCTGATCTAAATTATTCTAGTGAAAGTGTTTTGAGTTTAAAAACACAGTGGAGCACTTTCTGTATGACATCACAGGGTGGAACTGAATGTTTTCTGTCTGGGAAAATAACCTAAATATGCAGGTTTGTGTGGTAAACATGTGAGAATGAAGCAAAACACGACTCCAGGTCTGTTTGTGATGAGGAAACAACATTATAACATAGATCAGAAAATAGCATAATATGGGCTCTTGAAACTATTTGCAGTCGTCTTTGCTTTGTTAAAGGGACAGTACGGAATTTTGGACATAGGACCTCATTTCCTTAGCCAGGCTGGCGCCACCTAGTGCCTCTGCTCAAGTTCATTTCTCTCCAGCGACTAGGTCAGGAATCGAAATACACTAGACGGTTTGCAAGAACCCTGGAAATGCGAGTTCAGGCACCAGCTAATCAGTGAAGAGCCATATATTCTGTGTTGGCAACAATTCCCGAGATCGACGATTTAAAGCTGGAACAAAGAGAATGTTTGGTGAATTTTATCAAGGGGAAAGACGTTATTGTCCTTCCACCTACGGGATTTGGGAAAATTTTAATATACCAGTTAGCCCCGTTAGTGACGCTTTACATACATCATGACCAAATAGCAGTGATTGGTTAAATGAAAAAAAGTACCCGCCTACTGTCAAGCAACTGAATTCTAATGCTGCGAAGTTAGACAGTTTCCACGAAGTGAAACCGGCTGATGAATCAGACTATCATTTCCTAGTGAGTCAGAGTGTTGGAGACGTGTGGAGACACTTTTTTAAAAATATTCCATCCAGTCCTTGTATTTGCAGAGGTCACTGGTGCTAGGCTAGTGCATGTCAATGGCCATAGTTATTCCTGCCACTAAAAACAGTCTTACCCACTCCACAAAACACCAGAAGAAAATATATTATTACACCAGACTGTCCATGTAAATGTCTGTGTTGATAGAATAATGTTTGAAATGAATCTTACCTTGCATCGCATGAATCGTCACATGTTGAGGGACTATTTACTCATATATCAGTCCGCCACTGCCGAGCTTTCTATCAGGAAGAACAACTCACTGCTGCTGCTCAGACATAAATCCTTCAAATGCAAGGCTGGTTTTACTTCTAAAGTCTGGAGTAATAATAGATTTACTTCAGGTGTTTTGTGGAGTGGGTAAGACTGTTTTTAGTGGCAGGATAACTATGGCCATTGACATGCACTAGTCTAGCACCAGTGACCTCTGCAAATAAAAGGACTGGATGGAATATTTTAAAAAGTGTCTCCACACGTCTCCAACACTCTGGCTCACTCGGAAATGAGGCCCTATGTCCAAAATAACAAACTGTCCCTTTAACAAATTCTTATCATTCTAATTATTCACCACAATGAGCTGCGGTTCACAACTTTCCTAGGCCATCACATCACTGCTAATAACAAAAAGCGTACGCACCAAGGTTACTTTCTGGATTGCAGCCAGTAAAAACACTTCATAATTAATTGGAGACCGAACACGGCGCTTTAACTTTTACATTATATCTGTACTGGGGCGACGCTAATTTTACTTACATGAAAAAAGAAAATACAAAAATCAAGTACAGTCCCTTTCACATTTGCTTCTAATTCAAATTCAGACTTATCTTAGAGAGAGTGTGCCTGTGTCTCCTCAGCCTTATGGTCTCTCACAAGTTTTTTTGTTAACTCTTTTTTTCCCAAAATTAGTCCCTATATTCCCACATTTCCTTGATCATCAGTTTGCATCAGAATTAAACCCCATTTCACCCAGTTTGGTCGACAATTACACCTGACCTATTATCCAGCACCGCTAACTATAAATGTAATGTAGACGTCATGGAGGATCCCAGGTTGAAATGACTCTGAATCATCCTTTTAAATACTGTATAAAAATAAAAATGACTTGACTTAGAGTTTAATTTTGAGACAAAGCTTAGAAATGAGGGAACATAAGTTAGAGTCCTGCATGGGTCAATTTTTAGAGACCCGCATCCGCGCAGTACAGCACCACACCCGCCTGTTAACCCATGATTATATCAAAGTTTAACCCGCACCAACCAAGACCCGTTAAAACCATTTTAAACCCGTTAAAAGCATTTTAACTGAAGCATCCATTAGAATGAGAATTGAAGAATAAGAATTGAAAAGTTACGACTTCAAGAATTACAGTCATGAAATTAAATGAAACGGTTACACTTTCTTTAGTACGAATATGGATTCACAAACGTGACTCGACTGTCATTACTTCACAGGCTTTAGCAGAAAAAACATTGATCGTGATGCTGGACTTTTGTGCTGCATAGGCCACGGACTGAACCAGGACTGAACCAGGACTAAACCAGGACAAACCCAGGACTGACCTAGGACTGATTACAGGACTGAACCAGGAGGACTAAACCAGTACAGAACTAGGCCTAAAACAGGACTAAAGCAGGACTAAACTGGAACTGAACCAGGAGTTACTGTTGTGACGGGCTATGAGGTGTGCCCATGTAGATCGTTGGGTGACCACAGGCGAAAGGACCGCGCTCCACAGAGGTAAGCGCAGCCGTCGCCCGATCGCGCTTTGCGGACACACTGCTCCACGGGCTCAGGGTTCTCTCTCTCTCTCTCAAGTCCAAGATTAGTCCTGGTTTAGACCTGGTTTAGTCCTGATTTGGTCCTGACCCGCCCGTGTGTAATCACTACCTGCCCTCATACCCTCCCGTAAAATTCCATAACGTTAAAACCCGCCAGTTTCAGCAACTATTTGCTCGTACCCCGGTGCAGGACGCTGACACAGAACAGACCCCATCTTATCTAAAGGTGCATTGTGTAACTTTGCTGGTGGAGGGTCTGTCAAAAGCTTTTCTTCATAGTGATGTTATTGCTTTGACTAAAATGTTCCACAGTATGACATTAAACCTTTCTAAACCTTTCTATCTTCACGGAGACCAAACTAAACCAAGTTACAAGTCAGATCTGTGGAGAGGTGACCCCGTTCACAGTCAGAACACCTATTTTTCTAGATATCTTTTAGCTGTAAAACCACCTGTAATTGAATAAATGTAAGGTAAATCTGTTTAATGTCACACTGTGGAACATTCTAGATAGATCAATGACATATCCATCGAAACTCCCAACCAAAAAGTTAAACAGTGCACCTTTAAATTGCATGCACATACTGTATACTTACATAATATTGCCGTATTTGACACCTGTCTCTTGTCATTTTTTCCACTTATTTAGTATTTATTATTACCGTTTGTATGTTTTCTCTTTGTTATTATAATGTATTCAGTGTTAGATAATTGCTCCAGCTCTGGCAACAATAATTGCTGCGGCCGATCACCCTATGTCCTGTCAATCATCATATCATTCATTATTTCATTGCTATATGTTACTTTATTTTTTCTTCTTGTACACATACACTTATATAATCACGCCTTATTTGACAGCAGCTTCTCGTTATTTTTTTCAACTTATTTTCATTTCGCTTTAGTTATTATATTATATTGTGACGTGCGAGCTACTGTGGATCAATAAAGTTCGGGAGTAAGTCTACACCTGTGGATTGGCGAGGAGTTTCAAAGCGGTGATAGAGACAGTACTTGTATTTACGCAATATTTTCATAACTTTTTTGCATTTTTCACCGTTACATAATTGCTCCAGCTGAGGCCGTAATAAGAACCGCACGGGATAGCGAGTATATCTAAGTTATGTGAAGATCCAGCAGGTGGCGCCTCCGCTGAGTCATCGCAGTTCCAGTTTTTTTCTAATGGGAGAATATAATAAGAGAACAGACATAAGACAGTGTCCTCTCAGAGATGGAGCTGTCCCTTTAAACTCCGCAGGACCACTGAGTCTGGAGCTGTAGCCTGGACACTCAGCTCTCTGTGTGACACTTTTCACTCTGACGGAATATCCATAGACGGTGATTGCAGCTCTGCCTCAGGTTATAAAGCTCCGCGAGAGGCAGGGGGCGCCGCTCAATGATATTCAGAGGATATTTTCAGCAAATACCCACAAAGGAGTACCACTGCAAAGGCAATTTCCACTTCGCAGTATTAGGGATGTAACAATATCCAAATCTCTCTGCACGATATTTTCATGATGTACAGCTCATGGTGCTTAAAACGCCTTGACAAGACTTTTATTCTGTCATAATCCAACTCATTAAGAGTCCAAAATGCTAAATAACTGCTATTTTTCATGTAGTTTGCACCAAAACGGAGCAAAGGATCATGGTCTACGTAGTTCCCTCTGTTTTTTTTAGCTCATGTCGCACCATAACAATGAATTTAAGCAAAAAAAAAAAAAAAATTGTAATTTCGATATTTTGTGATGGTCCATGATATTATTGTGAGACTTTTGACGTTAAGATTAGAGCTGAGTATCATTAAGAAGTTGCCAATACGATACACACCTCGATACATAGGTCACGATATGATACATACCTCGATACATAGGCCACGATATGATACATATCTCGATACATAGACCACAATACAATGCATACCTTGATACATAGGCCACGATATGATACATATCTCGATACATAGGCCACAATACAATACATACCTCGATACATAGGCCACGATATGATACATATTTCGATACATAGGCCATGATACGATACATACCTCGATACATAGGCCACGATATGATACATATTTCGATACATAGGCCATGATATGATTCATATCTCGATACATAGGCCACGATATGATACATATTTCGATACATAGGCCATGATATGATTCATATCTCGATACATAGGCCATGATACGATACATATCTAGATACATAGGCCACAATACGATACATACCTCGATACAAATGCCACGATACCATACATACCTCGATATATATGCCACGATATGATACATATCTCAATACAGTGCACTTTCAATTCGATACAATACATTTCAAAACGATTTGATGTGGTTCAATAAAAAATAAAGGCTAAATGGCTCTGATACTAAAAGTTTTTGTTGAACCATTTTTTGTGCAAAGTTAATATGAAAAATGCCCCTTTTTAATCACCAAAACAGTGAAAATGTCAAATGTTTCGCATAAACAAGTTTCCTTCCTCTGAACAAGCAACAAAACTGTAGCACTGTAACAAAATAATTTAGTAAAATATACCAAAATATACTCTTGGCGATATATCAATACAGCAGCCCACTATATCGATACTGTATCACCACATTAAACGATACAATATACCGATATTTCAATATTTTTGCACACCCCTAGTTACAATATTATATTATATTATTTTGGTTATTATTACAGCCCTACTCAAGATGTTTTTGAAAGCCCCCAGTCGTCCTGGTAGCAAAGGCAGCAAAGCAAAGGAGAAATTCAATTCTGTCAACTGGACAAAAGTGTTTTCTGTTTTGTTTTGTTTTGTTTTTGATAAAATACATTTCACACTTCATCCAAGCTGCTTCTTCAGCTTTGGTCAGATGCTGGTGGACACGGTCTTATATCTGCCTATGTAACAGATAATACTCCCTACAACTGTACAACAACTCCCCCTTATGTAACAGATAATACTCCCTACAACTGTATAACAACTCCCCCTTATGTAACAGATAATACTCCCTACAACTGTACGACAACTCACTCTAATGTAACGGATAATACTCCCTACAACTGTACAACAACTCACTCTAATGTAACGGATAATACTCCCTACACCTGTACAACAACTCACTTTTATGTAACAGATAATACTCCCTACAACTTTACAACAACTCACTTTTATGTAACAGATAATACTCCCTACAACTGTACAACAACTCACCCTTATGTAACAGATAATACTCCCTACAACTGTACAACAACTCCCCCTTATGTAACAGATAATACTCCCTACAACTGTACAACAACTCCCCCTTATGTAACAGATAATACTCCCTACAACTGTACGACAACTCACCCTTATGTAACAGATAATACTCCCTACAACTGTACAACAACTCACCCTTATGTAACAGATAATACTCCCTACAACTTTACAACAACTCACCCTTATGTAACAGATAATACTCCCTACAACTGTACGACAACTCACTCTAATGTAACGGATAATACTCCCTACACCTGTACAACAACTCACTTTTATGTAACAGATAATACTCCCTACAACTGTACAACAACTCACCCTTATGTAACAGATAATACTCCCTACAACTTTACAACAACTCACCCTTATGGAACAGATAATACTCCCTACACCTGCACAACAACTCACCCTTATGTAACAGATAATACTCCCTACAGCTGTACAACAACTCACCTTTATGTAACAGATAACCTTATATCCTGTCTTCCTATGTCCTCTTGTATAAAGCTTTGATTGTATTTTATTACTTGTCTTTCTTTTTTCTCTATATAGTTACATTTATATAATTATGTCTTATTTATTATTACCATTTATATTTTCGCTCTTTGTTATAATATTATATTGTGATGTGTGAACTACTGTGTCCAAATAATTTCACTTGTGGATCAGTAAAGTTTGTCTAAGTCTAAGAGAGGAGCTAACTACACTGAAACTACTCTGAAATTACCACATTTACTTGTTCATAGTTTCTGTTTTTTAGCTTGGTTTATTGAACTGCACAGTTGTAGTTCGCTCCCTCCTTCAGGCCGATATAAGAAAGAGTTCAGCAGCGTCTGACCAGAGCTGAAGAGGCAGTTTGGATGACCTGTGAAACGTATTTCATAAGAAAAAAAAAAGCTTTTGTCCAGTTGAAAGAATTGAATCCCTACTCGATTTCTAACAAGACTTAATAGTATTTCCATTGGTGTATTCTAGGCACTGTCACATATCTTTCAAATCGGATATAAGAGGCGATACTCCTCAGAGATCTGTTTCCGCGCTGGCAGCTCTGGTTCACAGCTCTGTAGACTGAAGTTTTCTTTTTGTACGCTGTATTCCCACACGTGTCCTGTCCTTTTTTTCATTTCGCCCTTCGTCTTTCTCTCACAGATGCCCTCCCGGACACCTGACCAAAGAGAGCCCGGTGGGTAAAGTGTGCGTCTACACTTTGTGCGCCAGCCGTCCTTGTCGCCACGGCACCTGCGTCCCCCACTCGCCCTCGCGCTACTCGTGCCACTGCAGCCAGGGCTACAGGGGGCGCCACTGCGAAGTCGCCCTGGCCCTGTTCCACGACGAAGGAAACAGCCTCAGTCTCAGCTCCATGTTCGCCATCAGCATCTGCGTCATGGCGTTTCTAGGTAGCTACGCCGACTATGTGCTCTTTCATCTGTGGTAACTGTTAGTGATGGGAAGGAATCGGCTCTTTTGATCGATTCTTTTGATTCCTTAAAGGTCCTGTATTACTCAAAGTTGATTCTTGCAAGCTTTAATCCATGGTATAATGTTGTTTCCTCATCAAAATCATACCTGGAGTTGTATTGTTTCATTTACACATGTTTGAGTAATCCTGGATTAAAGCCCGACCGATACGGATGTTTTTGCCGCTGATATGATTTGGAGTTAGATCTTGATTATAAAATTTAGGTGTGACTCTACTGGATTTTAAATTTGGCTTGTTTAGGCTACATTTATTGTTATTCTGCTTCTTTGCAGTCATATTTAAAGACAGTAGGCATTTTTGCATGACATTTTAGCCTGTAAAGAAAGTAAGTAAACCACTGCTATATGCGTAAATGCCGATCATTCACACCTCTATTTGCAGCTCATTTAGATACCAGTGCAGGTCCAGTAATGTGTACAGCCACTATAGTCACTTTGCACTAGGCCAGTGTAAGAGAAAACAGCAGCTACGAGTTAAACAATGAAAAAGCTAAAAGTAGCACCAAAACCGACACATTTGTAACACTCACCGCTCACACAGGCTCCTCTCAGATCACAAGTCTTCACAAATAAGTGTCCTTTTAATCCTGACTCAAATCAGTCGTCGGTAAATATGATATAATCCAGCATGTTGACAGCAGCTGCGAGTGCAAACAAGTGCGCGTGAGTCATGTGACACTGGTGGTGCGTTCAGGGCCAGTACGGCTTCGCAAACACAGACAAATTACTCTGCAGATAAACATTGATGCGGCGCCACATATTAAGACATTTACCTGCCTGTAAATTGGATTAAATGGACATAACGAAGAGCAGTGGTCTCCAACCTGTAGCTACCAGCAGCTCTCCACCCCCTTTCAAGTAGCTCACCAAGGGATTTCTGAATTACACGTATTGTCCCGAATAACTTAGAACTGATGAAGTAAATGCTTATTGTCGATCTTTCATTTTGATCCCTGATTTTGTGCACTCATAAATTAATAATAGCTTATGTCTTATCAAACTGTACCTTATCTAAGTCTTGCCATGGCTCTTATGTACACTTTATTTCCTAAAATTAGTAGCTCTCTGGAATTTTCATTGCGTAAAGGTAACTCACCTGAGGAAAAAGGCTGAAGACCCCAGATATAGAGAGTCTAAGCTTTATAACGAGGTATAACATGTCCACGTTGACTCGGTAAGATCGGCAAGATTTAGGCTGACAGCCGATATGCCCCAATCCTGGATTATTAGTCGGTCTACGTCTCCAAATCTGAAAATGCTCTGTTCCACCTTGTGATGTAATGAAGCTGTAGTTTTCGATTTAACAGCTGCATTTTACCTTTTGTTTAATAGAGATTTAAAATTCCAGGGCTGAAATGATCTTCCAAATGATTCCAGTGAAGGTGTATAGAGTTTAAAAACACAGCGGATCACTTCCTGCATGACATCACAAGGTGGAACAGAGCATTTTCCGTTTGAGAGAAGAACCCAGCCTAAATCTACAGGGTTTGTGTGTTAAACATGTGTGAATGAAACAAAACAAAACACGACTCCAGGAATGTTTTCGATGAGGAAACAAGCAAAAATAGCACAACAGGAGCCTTTTAAACAAATCAGAACCTTTGTCATGTCTCTCTGTGATGAATTTGCAGATAAAATACACTTCTGTGATACAAATAAATACACAAAAGGCCAATCTTTGACTCGAACAGCTCCAGAAGAATCGGATCCCACAAAAGAGCCGAAACTCCCACCACGAGCGGTAACATCATCTTGTATTTCTCATAAGCTGTAATATATGTTCTTATTTGCCTTTCTCTGTGTTCCATCGTATTTGATTTCATCTTTCCGTTGCTGTATTGTATATTTTTGTGTGATGTTTGCTTTTATGTGCACCTGCCGTTGTATTTTTGTTTTCCGTCTGTTTGTGGAGCCTGTTCACACACTCATCTTGTCTGTCTATTGATCTCCTGAGTTGCGCCGGATGTGATTTTCCATGGGAGGTTTGCGAGAACATGAAACAGATACCTGCGCTAGTGAGGAGCAGGGGAGAGACGGAGCCGTGTCTTAATTTGAGATTCACAGAGAAACCGTAAAAGTCTCTAGAGATTCTGACACTGTTTTTATATTTATATTCCTCATCAGTTGTGTGTCCCTCGTCTCGTCTCTCCTCTGCTGTAGCGTCACAAGTCAATTTCAGTCTCTGTGCTACTTTTGATCTGTATAACGTGGTTTATGTTCCACTGTCCACTCATTTGACTTCTTCACTGTGTTCTCTTGGTTTTCAATTCTCCTTTCATTGTACATTTATTTCCCTTGGCATTCGGAATGTGTCTATACACCAGAGCACTTTAATGAAGGCAGCTTTGTACGCCACAGACCGCATTCACTTGTAAAGAACCCAGAATCGCATTTCAACAGCTTGGTCCGTTGTGTGGTTTCTTCTACTTTCAATTCCACATTTGCACAGTGGAATTTCCTGTTTCATCATGGATTTAAAGGGGCACTGTGCAGCGTTTCTCGTAGAGGGTCTGCTACCGGTTTGCAAGGACGTAGGTTTCATCTCCTCCACATGAAACCAACTCATAGGATGAACAGATTAATCATATAATATTGTTTACTTTTCGTATGATGCACACTGCAAAAACCAAACGGCACATTTTTATAAGAAAGGGTAAAATGGGATAAGAAGGGTGGGTGGAGAGTCCCTGCCTCAAGTGGAGGAGTTCAAGTATCTCGGGGTCTTGTTCACGAGTGAGCGGAGGATGGAGTGTGAGGTTGACAGGCGGATTGGTGCAGTCGCTGTATCGGACCGTTGTGGTGAAGAGGGAGCTGAGTCAAAAGGCGAAGCTCTCGTTTTATCGGTCAGTCTTCGTTCCTACTCTCACCTATGGTCATGAGCTCTGGGTAATGACCGAAAGGACAAGATCACTGATACAAGCGCTCGAAATGAGTTTCCTTCGCAGGGTGTCTGGGCGCTCCCTTAGAGATAGAGTGAGGAACTCAGTGACAGGGGAGGAGCTCGGAGTAGAGCCGCTGCTCCTCCACGTCGAGAGGAGCCAGTTGAGGTGACTCTGGCATTTATTCCGGATGCCTCCTGGGCGTCTCCCTCGGGAGGTGTTTTCCGAGCATGTCCCACTAGGAGGAGGCCACGGGGAAGACCCAGGACACGCTGGAGGGACTATGTCTCAGGACTGGCCTGGGAACGCCTCGAGGTCCCCCTGGAGGAGCTGGAGGACGTGTCTGGGGTGAAGGAAGTCTGGGAGTCCCTGCTTAGACTGCTGCCCCCGCGACCCGACCCCAGATAAGCGGAACAAAATGGATGGATGGGATAAGAAGTTGTGTATATGTTTTATAAATTCTTTCCAAAAACACACAAAGTCTGGGCAGGTCCAACATAAGTGAGAGGTGGTTTCATTTTTCAGTTTGCAAAATGTACAGTTTGTGTCCTTTGTCCTTCTAAGACAATTCTTTATTGGATAACAGCGATGTAGAAGTTTGTAGCAGATTTCCCTTTACTTGTTGGTGATGACATATTTGTGAGGTCATGTCCAAACATTTTTCCATGGAATATTGTCAGTAGAGTCGGGCTGTGCACAGCGCACGAGTAGGGCTCCGTTTGGGAGGTGCACTTGTGGTGATAGTCCCTCTTTTTCGGCGGCAACTCATTACAAGGCAAGTTTAATTGAAGATGAAGCCAGTTAAGTTCCTTTTGAAAAGTTTTTCAAAGTTTGGTGCAGCGTCTTCACTCACTCCTGCTCAAGCCGACATCTTCAGGTGCGGTCCTGTCCTGCCAGTTTAAGCTCCTGGCTCCACTAAAATAAAATGTCAAATATTGGTCGGGACTATTCTGTCTTCCCCAAATATTGGTTGTGACATGTCCCCACCGTCTCTATGCAAACCTACGTCCTTGCTTGTTTGTCTCCATGGTGACGTTATTGCTTTGCCTGGAATGTGCCTTGGAGTTAAACTCATCCTTCTAGCACTGATTTTCCAGAGCTCAAAATACAATAATTCTTTCTGTGAATAGGGGCGAATCTCCACAGATCTGACTTGTAATGTAGCGTAGTGCTGAAACCTGCTCGTCGCCCTTGTGATAGAAAAGTTTAATGCCATACTGTGGAACATTCCAGACAAAGCAATAACATCTCCATGGAGACAAACAGGTGGCAGACACTCGACTAGAAATGATCAGAGTTGGAAAAAGTACTATATTTTGTTACTTAAGTAAAATTGCAGATACCAGAGCAAAAAAATACTCAACTATAATTAAAAGTATCACATAAAAAAGCCTGTTTAAAAATTTACTTAAAGACTAAAAAGTAAAAGTGTTTTGCAAAGATTATGAGATCCAATAAAGCTTCAAGCTGTAGTGATTTTGATACAGATTTGTGCTGAATTTTGTTCAACAGAAACAATTGAATAGTTTTGTTTTTTTCTAGCTGTTTTTATTTGTATATTTTTATTCTACAAATGTGTTAAAAAATAAAGCCTCAGTCTTTTCAGCAGGTCTCAAACAATGATAATAAAAAAAAAAAAAAAAAAAAATCTTAAAATGTAGCTCTTACTGAAAAAAGTAAAACTGGTCAAGGTACAAACCCGAGGCACAACGACTGAATATATTCAAAGTCCTGTCTTACATGGAGAGACGCAAACCTGTTTCGACCAGCGGGATGGTCTTTGTCAGGGCAGAAAGCGAATAATAATATTAATAAAAAATACTTGTATTTTTCAGTCCTGTTTCAAAATGTAGTGTAGTAAGAAGTACAGATACCTGCTCTCAAATGTAGTAACACAAAAGTATCAACTTTAAAATGTACTTTAAGGTGCACTGTGTAACACTGTTTTGGTTGAGGGTCCATCACCTTTTGGTTTCTATGGAAATGTCATTGCTCTGCCTAGAATGTTCCACAGTATGACATTAATTTATTTATTTATT